CGCCATGGCCTAGCGGCTAAAGTCCTCGCCTTGAACACACCAGGATCCCATAAGGGCGCCGGGTCTAATCCCGGCAGCTCCACTTCCCATGCTGCTCTCTGCTTGTGGCCTGGGAAAGCAGTCAAGGACGGCCCAAAGCCTTGGGACCCTGCACCCACGTGGGAGACCCGGAGAAAGTTCCTGGCTCCTGGCTTTGGATCGGCACAGCTCCGGCCATCACTTGGGGAGCAAGTCATTGGATGGAAGATCTTCCTCTCTGTCTCTCCTCCTCTCTGTATATCTGACTTTGCAACAATATAATAATAATAAAGATTTTTCTGTTTGAAAGCAGAGTTACAGAAAGAGAGATCCACCACCATCCACTACTGGTTCACTCTCCAAATGGCCACCATAGCCAGGACTGGGCCAGGCTGGAGCCGGGAGCCAGGGGCTTCATCTGCATCTCCTGTGACGGTGCGAGGGCCCTCAGCACTGAGCCATCCTCCACTGCGTTGCCAGGTGCCGCAGCAGGAAGCTGGATTGGAATCAGAGCAGCCAGGACTTGAACCGGTGCCCATGGGGGATGCTGGCACCGCAGATTTCACCTGCTACTCCATGGCGCCAGCCGCTCAGCGAGCTGGTTTTGCCACAGCTTTGCTGTTCCTGCCTTCTTTGCTTCGTTTCTGTCTTCTGGCGTCTGGGACCGTGTGTTGTGTCCGCTGCTCGTGCCTGCACGGGCACGGGCACGGGCACGGGCTGTAGCTGGGCCTGCCATGATGGGGTCTGGGTCTTTTCCATTGCCTGAATGTTCTTGCTGGCCGATGCACCCGGAGCCTGTTGCTGGGCACCCTACCGTCCTCTTGATTCTGCATCTGATGCACGCGGTCCTTTGGTGTCACACAGCGTCTGGAGCAAGACTCCTCAACGCATGGCTCTGTGCTGGATGTAGGGACAACACTGCTCCCCTAGGGCAGGTTGGGGGCAGGCCACCCCTGTAACCTGTCCTGGCCTCTCAGTGCACCTGCTCTCAGTGAGGTCATGACCTTGTGGAGTAAATTCCAGTTCTGGAGGGAGGCTGGTGCTGAGCCCAGCTGGAATCCCAACTCCTCCACACGGTGTGTGTGTGTGCAGCTGGCGGGGGCAGAGCCATCACTGACAGCAGACCAGGGAGGGAACAAGCTGGAATCAGTGGAACCATGGTATACTCCAGTAGCCACAGCAGAGCCGGAAGCCCAAGGCAGGAAGTGCAGGGGTCTCCGATAGGGCTGAGGGCAGGAGGGACCAAGAAGCTCTCACATTCCCCGGGGGTGAGGGGCGGCGGGGAACCTGGAGCAGAGGGGTTGCACTTCCAGTGGCCACCTGCACATGGGGGTCACGTGTGCACTAGGGAGCTGGTGCTGCAGCATAGGGGGTTAAAGCTGGCATTCCTCCCACCTCGGCACTGGTTCAAGTCCTGGCTGCTCCACTTCTGATCCAGCTCCCTCCTGATGGCCTGGGCAAGCAGTGGAGGATGACCCAAGTGCTTGGGCTCCTGTCACCCAGACAGGAGACCCAGAAGAATCTCCTGGCTCCTGGCTTCAGCTTGGTGCAGCCCAGACCACTATGGCCATTTGGGGAATCAAACAGCAGATCCATGTCTTTCCCTCTCTCTGTCTCTCTGTAACTCTTTCAAATAACTAAGTCAGCAACAAGAAATACACAGCAAGGCTTGCACTGTGCTGCCTGGAGGCGCCCACGTTTGCTTGGGCGGCACACGGCCTGGGGGTCCTAGGGCATGCCAGTGTGTTCCTGCCTGGAGCCTCAGGGCTGCCGTTGCAAGGTGCCCAGAGTTCTCAGTCCTGGAGTGTGGCCGTGTGAGAGCCTAGGGCGCTGTGTCTCCCAGGCCTCTCCAGGTGGCTGGATCTCACCCTGCGGTCACACTGGCTTCGGGTCCCATGCTGGCAGTCTCACTTGGAGGGTCTAGTGTCTCCGTGCTGCGAGGCTGCAGCGACAACAATGAGAAGAACCTCGGGACCCGGCACTCCGAAGCTCTCCAGGCTGCACTGCCCACAACGAAGCCTCTGTCCACTCCCGGCCTGGTTCATCTTGGACATGCCTGCCTGGTGGAAGTGGCATGCGGCTCCTTCAGCCCACCCGCTCCCACAGCTCGGGGTCCACATGGGAGTGTGGGGGCACACACACCCAGGCAGAGCCCGGCACACTCTGTCCCCAGATAGCCGCGCTCCTGTGCCGAACACACCTGCTGCTGACACCTGCTCTGGGCCCACTTACACCAGAACCAGCTGGAGAACGAAGGCAGAAGGGCCAGTGGTTTGTGTGACCGTGGGCTCCTAGGGGCACAAGGGATGGAAGCCTGCATCGCTGAGTTGTTAAAGTACACCTGCCGGGTCTGGTGCGATAGTCTAGTGATTAAATCCTCACCTTGCCTGAGCTGGGCTCCCATATGGGCGCCGGTTCCTAACCCGGATGTTTCACTCCCATCCAGCTCCCTGTCTGTGGCCCGGGAAAGCAGTCAAGAATGGCCCAAAGCCTTGGGACCCTGCACCCGCGTGGGAGACCCAGAAGAATCTCCTGGCTCCTGGCTTTGGATCGGCTCAGCTCTGGCCATTGTGGCCACTTGGGAGCGAACCAGCGGACAGAGATCTTTCTGTCTCTCTTCTCTATAAGTCTGAATTTCTAATGAAAATAAATGATTAGATAAAAAGCACACCTGCCCTGGAGAAGGCGAGGGCGGGGGGGCCTCCAGGGGACGGGGAGCAGAAGCAGGCGTGTTTACTGCCTGCACTTGGGGCAGCCAAGCTCGCCGGGCTGCTGGAGAGGCGGGGAGGCAGCCGCAAGCCCCAGGGCAGGAAGTGAAAGGGGGCTCCCTGGCCACAGCTGCGCCCTGCCTGCCTGCCTGGGCCTGCAAGGGCTGGGTCCTGCCTGCAGCTGGGCCTGGATCAAGAGACACAGCCAAGAGGGTGGGGGGAGATGGGAGATCTGGGCCACGGGCTCCCTGGCCTGGCCACCTGCAGGCCCCGCAAAGCCTTCAGCCAGCACAGTGAGGGTCGGCAGCCCTGTGCCTATGGCTGGGCCAGTTCCCCACACTCCGTTCTCGGCCCCTTGGGCCTGGGTCCCAGCACAGGACCCCAGGATGATGAGATGGGGTGAGTGCCTGGCATGCTGAGCCTGCCTGAAAAAGCCCTTCCTTGCCCCTCCTCTGCCTGCCAGGACCTCTTACCAACAAACTCCAAGGTTGTAGGAATACAGCTGGAGTCCTGCAGGCCTGGGGCACAGGAGGAGGGCTGTGTGAAGTGGACAGAAACAAGGACTCAGCGGTCTGCCCTGGTGCACCATTAAACCCATGTTACAGGTGGCACAGAGCTGGGGGGCAGGGATCCGGGCTTAGTCAATGGCGTGGGGGACCCAGGTGGGAGCCCCCAGGAGCAAGACCCTCAGCCCACAGGGTGTAGATGCTACAGAGGCCTTTGTCCGCCAGGGCCGGAGCAAGCCTGAGTTTATAGCCCCTACTCCCGAGTGGACAGGCTGGGGTCATGGGGCCGGGACAAAGGGGGCCTCAGGTCCTGCCCCTTCACCCCACCTCCCACACAAACGTGTCCTGCTCGCTGGAGAGACTTTTGCGCTGTGCAGGCGGGGCCTGCAGCACCACCCTGGCCCAGAAGGGCTCAGGCCCCCCAGCCAGCAGAGGCCCCCCAGCCAGCAGAGGCCGCTCTGCCTGCTGCTTCCTGCTCCACTGGCTCCCCCTCTGCTGCTGACTCACTGGCTGGACTGGCTCCGTCCTGGGTCATCGGGTGTGCCGAGTGGAGAGAGACAGACAAGAACTGAGCAGCCAGCTACGGTTGAGGGGAGGAAACTGAGGCAGGGGAAGAGTCCTTAGGGTGGGTTAGCCTTGGGACATCCCACTTCTCTCCAACACCGGGGAGGGGGAAGGATGGGGGCTCCTGGCCCTGCTCGCCCACCCACCCACCCTTCAAGGCTCCCCAGCCAGGGTTTTAGACATGGAGAGGGAGTGGGCGCCCCAAGCAAGCAAGGCCCTTGGGCCCCCAAATCTCCCACTACCCCCTGCCTCTGAGAAGCCCACACCCCCTCCCCACTTCTTCTCCCTTCCAGGACTTGGGAGCAGGACCCAACATGCTGACACTGTCCATACCACATGTGAGCCCCCAGCTGCTGGGGAGGGCTGCCAACCCAGCCCCTGCCGCCTTCCCCAGGACCCAGGGCCGCCCTGGCCGCCCTCCCTGCCTGCCTGCCCCTGCCGCCTTCCCCAGGACCCAGGGCCGCCCTGGCCGCCCTGCCTGCCTGCCTGCCTGCCCCTGCAGGTCCTTCTGCCCCTCCTGCCCTGTCTCTGATCCTCTGGTGGGCCGGAGCACTGCATCTCAGCTTCTCCTTGCTCGGCCAGCTCTCCCCCCTCCTGCCAGCCCTGCTCCGAGAATGCCAAGTCTGCAGGTTTCCAACGACCTTGAACAGTCTGCAGCTCAGAGCTCTGCAGGCAGGCAGGGCCCAGAGGCGGGGCCTCAGGGGTTTCAGCCCTGGCTGGCTGCTGCTTCTGGGGGGGGGGGCTGCCCCGCCTCGCAGCACCCCCTCCCCACACTGTCCTGTGTGCCAGCTTTACCTCTCCGCGACTGGTTCCACAATTCGTGTTGCTCGCAAGCTGTCCTCCCCTGTCCAGCCCAGCTTGCCCCTGGGGGGAGGACTTATGCCTGCCGTGACCGCCGGCACACAGTAGGTGCTTGGCTGGGAAATCTGCTCCTTGCTGCCCTCAATGTAGGGAGGGATGTGTGGAAGGGGAAGGGGTGGGGGGTCCTGCTGAATTCACCGCCTCCCCCCTTCCCACCATGCCAGGCCCCCTTTGGGGTAAGAGGGAAACTGAGGCACGCAGGCGGTTGTGCTGGAGATCCAATGAGAAAGGAGAGGGGTTGGGCCAGTCCAGGCAGCACCACAAGTGCTTTTACCTCTCCTGCACAAGGAGAGCGGGGCGTGCCCCCTGAACCCCAACCCTGGGCCGGGCCTGCCCCTCGCAGGCGCGGCCCTCGAGCCCCAGGCGGAGCTTAGCCCACCAGGGGCCCAGGAGCCCGAGAAAAATGAGTTTTCCTGCCGCTCGGTGGCGGTGTCAATTGATCGCGCGCGGGCTGGGGGCCGCTCTCGCAGCTGCCTGCGCGCAATTATCGGGAAAAAACTGGGCCGGCCGCCGCGGCCAAATTAGTTATCGATCCCTTGGCGGGGCCGCGGGGCCGCGCTCGGCGCTGATGGCTGGAGCCCGGCCGGGGCCCGCTGCGCTGGGGCGGGGGCTGCACCCTTCTCCCCGCACCTGCCCGGGCGCCCCCGCTGCCCTGCGCCCCGCTCGGGTTCACGGCCGCCGCATCGACCCACGCGCCCCGGCGCACCCTGCCACTGCCCCGGTCCGCGAGAGGGCAGGGCCGAGAGTGCTGGGGGCCTGACCTGCCTAGGATGGTTTCTGAGACTCTGCCGGCCTCAGTTTCCCGCGCCGGGAGCCCGGGGAAACGGCTCCGACGTCCTGCTGACAGGGGGGAATGGGCAGGCTCCCCAGAAACAGCTGCCCGACACCCCCGCTCCTGCCGCAGCGGCTGGGAGTGGATTTGGCGTTTGTGCCGCTGATTCTCCAGCCACTCGAGGACGAGTTGTAGGCCCATTTTGCAGATCGGTACCCAGAGGGGCAGCCGGCGCGTCCGGGTCCTGTGTACCGCAGGAGGGGGTTGCTGACACAGCCCCTCCCCTCCCAGAGACGGCGGGCAGGGAGAGAGGGGTCTTTGCTCACAGCAGCTGCTCCGCTGAGCCAGTGCTGGGCTGGGGGCAAGGACCTGAGCTCTAATCCTCACTCCTGGCTTTCTTTCTTTCTTTCTTTCTTTCTTTCTTTCTTTCTTTCTTTCTTTCTTTCTTTCTTTCTTTCTTTCTTTCTTTCTTTCTTTCTTTCTTTCTTTCTTCTTTCTTCTTCTCTTTCTTTCTTTTCTTTCTTCTTTCTTTCTTTCTTTCTTTCTTTCTTTCTTTCTTTCTTTCTTCCTTCCTTCCTTCCTTCCTTCCTTCCTTCCTTCTTTCTTTTCTTTTCTTTCTTTCTTTCTCTTTCTTTCAACAAAGATCTATTTATTTTTAACGGAAAAGCAAATTTACAGAGAGGGGAGAGAGAAAAATCTTCCCTCTGCTGGCTCACTCTGCAAATGGCTGCAAAAGCTGGAGCTGAGTTGATCTGAAGCCAGGAGGTAGGAGCCTCTTCTGGGTCTCCCATGTGGGTGCAGAGTCCCAAGGCTTTGGGCTGTCCTCAACTGGTTTCCCAAGCTACAAGCAGGGAGCTGGATGGGAAGTGGAGCATCCATGTTAGGAACCAACACAGGCGGTGGATTAGCCACTCGAGCCATTGCACTGGCCCCATCCCCTGGAGGAGGTTCAGAGCTAATGTCCTCAGGTTTCCTGAAGGGACAGGACTTTCAGCCTGGGGACAGGGCAATGACAGGGGCCTGGCCAGCCCTGCTGCTGGGAGCTGGGATGGCTCAGTTTGCCATGGCCCTTATGTGCAAAATCCCGTTCCAGAGTCCAGTTCTATCTCCCAAGTCTCAGTTTCCTTTTCTGTGAAATGGGCGTGAAGAGGACTCCATTGTAATGGGAAGAGAAGTACCAGGCACAGCTCGGGGTTCAAATCTCCCTTGGCAGGCTGATGGCATGAGTGGTTAGGGTTTCCTGTCTTTCTCATAGGAGACCCAAATTGAGTCCCCGGCTCCTGGCTCCGCCCCAGTCCAGCGAGGGCCATTTCAGGGGAGTGACACAGTGAACGGGAGCTTGCTGTCTACCTCTGCGTCTCAAAGCTTTAAGTAACCCGAACAAGCAAACTAACGGGCTGGGGCTGTTGTGTAGCATGCAAAGCTTCCACTTGCAACACTAGCATCCTATATAGATGCCTGTTTAAACACCGGCTACTCCACTTTTGATCCAGCTCCCTGCCAGTACATCTGGGAAAGCAGCCGAGGATGACCCAAGTGCTTGGGCTCCTGCACCCACCTGGAAGACCCGGATGAAGCTCCTGGCTTCAGCCTGGCCCAGTGCTGGCCACTGCAGCATCTGGGGAGGGACCCAGCAGTCCCTCTAATTGTTTCAAGATCAACAAATACATCTTTAACAAAATATTTTAAAATCAGAATCGAAACACTAAACCAAATGGCTGCTCCTGAGGGTTCAGCACAGAGATGTAGGGGCTCTGTGCCCCCAACCCAGTTTTCCTGGCTCGGGAGGGGGCCCTCTGTGACAGCACAAGTGTAGGCCCCATGTTGGCCCCAGCCCGGCAGGAGCCCGGCAGGAACGGGGCGGAGGGAGCTGCTGGGGAGGGGCGGCCTGCCTGTGGGGGTGGCAGGTGGAGGAGGGGCATTCCCTGCCCCTTGTTGCCTCTGCCCTCTCCCCCGAGGTCCAGCCACGCGAGACTCCCGGCCACTCCCCATCCTCACACTACCCCATGGCCCTGCTGCTCCCTGGCCTTGCCTGAGCTGCTCCCCAGTGTCCAACCGGCACACCTCTCCACCAGTGTGCCAGCAGTTGCCTATTTACTTCTATTTATTTATTTTAAAGATATGGGGGGGATGCTAGCACACAGGCAGAAGGGGTCTAGGGACCCAGGCCTATGCACATGGCACCCAGGCAGGAGGGCAAGGCTCCTGGGTGGGCATGGGGGGCTGTGGTTCTGGGGATGTGTGGGAGGGAGGACTGCTAAGAGGGAACAACACAGATGAGGAGTGGTTTCTGGGGGACTTGCAGCTACCAGGCTACTGCCCTTGGAGGTAAGTGAGGGGCTGAGACTGGGTGCTTTGGAGAAGGCAAACCGGAAGATCTTTCAGGGCCAGACCAATACACCCTCCGTGTGGGAGCGCTGGGTTAGGATTGTTGGAATAACCAGCATCTATTGGCACACATGAAAGCTAGGTTTTGGGGGGCCTGCCTGGCAGGGCTCAGCCGCTGTGCCTGCCAGTGAGTGTCTGGGCAAGGGTGGACCGTGTCAGGCTGGGCCATGACACTAGCCTGCATGTGAGAGAGCCAGGTCTGGGAGAAGATTCTGTGGGGGATCATGGGCTCACCCCTATGGGACTGTCACACCAGCTGATTTGCTTGAGGGCTGGGAGTGGTGACAAGCCAAGGTAGGCATGACCATGAAACTCACCAACACTCATGAGTACTGGGGTTGGGAACAGGCTGGGCAGGTCCAGGCTGCAGCTCCCGTAGGCTGCCGTAGGGTGTAGGATAGGCTGGGCTGCAACATCCACCAGGACTCCCTCCTCCAGATGCTTGTGCATGGACACACCGTCTAGGAAGTTGCCCCGCCCAATTCCCTCACACCCTGAAGTTGTCCCCGCCTCCTGATCCAGGTTGCAGCCCCTGGGTACGAAGGGGTCACCAGAACACACTCCTCCTGCTTAGAGTGGCCCTCCTGGGCCCAGTGTGCTGGCCTTCCCACCATGCCCAGCCCCTCTCCCCCAGCCTGGGGCCCTCCCTGGCCCCACCTGTGAGGGTCTCTGCCGTCTCCTGCCCAGCAACCCCACTGCCTTCAGAAGCTCACCCCGTCTTCCTGATCCCTGTCCCCATAGGTCCTGCTCCTCTCCAGGGGTCCTCCTGAGTGTGCCCCCTCGCCCCTATTCTGAGGGCCAATCCAGGGAAAGACCCAGACTAGTAGATTTAACCCTAGGCGGTGGTGTAATCCTTCTTTTGAGAGGCCGAGTTGCAGAGAGAGAAGCAAAGACCAGAGCGCTCCAATCCTCCCCCACGGCCATAGGACGGCCTCGCAGGACCAGCCTGAAGCCAAGAGCCAGGAGCCTGCTCACACCTCCCATGTGGGCACAGGAGCCCAAGCAGGCACTGGCGCCGTCTCTGCTGCTGTCTCAGGCACAGTCCCTAACATTGTCACTACACTCAGTCTCTTCCCGGCGTGGACACTCCTGTCCCTGGCTTTCCCTGCCCTTTCAGGCCATTGGTGGCCTTGCTGGCAGTGTGCGTATGTGAGACAGAGAGATCTTCCATCTGCTGGTTCACTCCCCAAATGCCCACACTAGCCAGGCCAGACTAAAGCCAGGCTCCAAGAACTGCCAGGCTGAGTGGCAGGGCCCAAAGCCCCTCCCAGGGTCTGCACTGGCTGTGGACCTGGGGCTGGACCTCAGGCTCTTGGATGCCAGGGGCAGGCGTCCCAGTTGAATTCACCCCTCCTCCGAGGCTGACCTCCCTGTGTGTGCTACCAAGTGTCCAGGGAGCCCTGAGTCCTGAGCTTGTGGCCGCCCCCCAGTCCCTGGCCTCTGGCTTCTCAGAGTCTGTAGGCTGCAGTGGCTCCCTGGATCCCTCCCAGGCCTGTGCACCTACTGTTCTTCCCCACCAGGAGCTGCTGGTGGCTCCCCTGGGGGAACCTGCCCTGGACGCTCAAGGCCCACGGGGGCTGTGTCACCCACCTGTCCCAAGCTGTTAGAACGACTGACATAGTGCAGGACACTGGGCAGTGCCCAGCAGGGAGGGCCCGATGCGTGCCCTGGCCTGCCTGCCATGGACTGCTTTCCGGCTGCCACTGCTATGAAGCCCTGTTTCCTGTGTGACAATGTGACCACCTGTGTCCCCCTTGGCAGAGGTGGGCATACAAGGCGTAAATCATGGTCACGTGGGGGGACCGAGGCATAGAGGTGGGGCTGCCAGGGGCACGCGGAGGACTGGATCCGGTCACTTAGCACATGAGTGGCCAAGCCCAGTGGCGGCCACATGGGACTTCTAAGTTCTCTCTGTGCTTGGCCAAGGAATACCCTGGGGGCAGGAAGGAATCCCTGTTCCCCGTGTCCTGGAGGGGGTAAGACCTGCGGCCTGCTGGGGCACCCCATATTGGGGACAGGATCTAAAAGCCAGCAACAAAAAGAGGGGGTCACACAGGTTGGGCGTGGTAGGCCTTCATGAGGGTGAGCCGAAGGTCAGCCCCACCCCCTTAATTATGCATAAACCAGGCACTGAGTGTGTGACCAGCACACACTGGGTATCACCTCCCCAGGAGGGTGGGCATGGCCACCTGTGCCATGGCGTGTGGCTCCTGTCCTAGCTGACACCCTTCACTTCCCACTCACATCAGGCCGTGCACAGGACCCTGGGGACCAGGATCCCGCGTGGGACGGGTGAGGACAGTCCTGGGTGGTCACTGCTGGGGCAGGAGCTGCCCTGAGTGACCTCCGCCTCCCCGCTCAGGCT